TCGGGTTCTGAGCGTAATATTTGTGGCCCACACTGCGTGCAGAGTTTGAGATAAGGGGTTTTAAACCGTTTCGAAAATCGAATTGCTGATTGTAGGGTAAGCTTACATGTAGTCGAGTCAGAAACTGCAACCACCTACGTCATCGCCTTTTTCTCGGTTCATTGTCCACCAACGGAAGAGACGACAAGACGGCCGCACTGGACGTCCTCACTTGTCAATTCTACTCGAGCCCAGCATTCGACTACTTGTCGTACGTACCACCGTCCCTCCTGCCAAGATGAAGACTGCCTTCGTGTCCGCCGCTGTTCTCATCGCTGCTGCCGCCTACTCGAGCGCTGCCGACTGTGACATGGCCAAGATTGAGGGTTTACTCTACCCGAACGCCACTCAGGGTCTTGCGGACTGCGAGAACGCCACAGGCATCGACATCTTCGCAGTAGGCCAGTTTCCCACCACGGAGCAGGTCACGCAGCTCTCACGGAACGTCGACTGCGCCGACTACCTAAACCAGATCAATCAGGTGGCCAATGCTGAGATCCAGTGCAACGTAACGATTGAGGGTGTCCCCGTAAACTTTGGCAAACTCATCGCCGACTTCCTTACGGGCAAGACCGGCAACGAATCCGACTCTGGCAGTGGCTCCATCGAGATCCCGAGCGAGAGCGCATCCGGGTCGGTGGGTTCAGGCTCGGCCAACCTCGACAGCTCGGCCACCAACTCTGGATCGACTGCGGCATCCGACTCATCAGGCAGCAGCGGAGCGTCGAGTGCTCAGGCGTTCTCATTCATCGCCTATGGCATCGCCGCTGTGGCTGCAATGGCACTACAGTAAGCCGAGAATCGACGTGATAGTGTTCACGTAGTGTGTCTGGGGAAGCTGTTACTTGCAGTCGGGTTTACTTTTGCAATGAAAATGCCATACATGTACGTGATTCACCGAGGCTCTGCCTACAGAATTGTCGGCATTTTTATCTGGTAGGATTTAAGTGTAGCATGCTTCTTACAGCAGCAAACAAAGATTTAAAGTTGACAGCGACAGCCACTACGTCATGTAGTCTACATGAACTGCAATCAGAAGCGAAACAGTCTCGCAACAACATAAAGCAAGAAACGCTAAATTATAGGTTCTCGATTGCAAGTGTATTTTCGGTATGACATGACGTCTTGAGAGTCTTTGGCTCGCGATGAATCGTTTCGCTTTGTCTTCGTTCCAGCTAATATACAGTGTCCTCAGCAGCTTTTGGGCACAGACCCAAATTCTCAAAAACGGGGAATTTTGCGTCATTTCACTCCCGGCAGATATACCGAATGAGTAGTTTTTCGGTGCTGCACGGGAATACATGTACTACGTACACTCTTCCACGTCAAAAATAGTAGTTTCAGGCTTGTTCCTCAGCTGCAACCCGAAGCATGAAACGCCAAATTCTAGGTTCTCGATTGCAAGCGAATTTTCACCCGGAGTGTCGATGAAAAACCTCGAGAGCCAGAGAACCAGTTTAGGACAGAACATGCCAAACACATACATTTACTGGCAGTAAATTACTGCGTCAGCACACTTCTGTATAATTTTGACCTTCTGAGTGTCACAATAAGACATACAGGTAATCGACGATTAGAGGTCACAGCAGAAAAGTGACATTCGCTTGGCTGGCCCCTTCGCCGCCCCCGCGGCTCGCTACGCTCGCGATATAAACATCGAATGTCCTGGCGAGTGCAATGCACGGCTCGCTGGTGAGCTCGACGCTGGGCCCGCCTCGCACCCGCTTACCGTAGTTGGCGCCGCGGCAATGGCACCCACGTCGCCCAGCCCCGTGTGTGTTATCCCAGCGATGGGCCCTATTTTCTGCCAGTTTATTTATACATGTAGCAATGTTCGGACGTTTTACACATGCTCCCCACTCAGCACGGTCTCAAATTAACCTTTTTAACCTCGAGAACCAGGTTCTCGACGTTTTACCGGCTCGTGATAAATCGGGGGAACCTTGGTTCGTTTCGTCTTCGTTCCAGCTGAGGTTTGTTCGCTGCAAGCGAGATAATGTGATAATGTTAGATATGGCCATCTTGCTGAAGGAGGGCGAGGGCACCAGCCCATACAGAGCCGTTGCCTCGAGTGAAGCCAAGAATACCCGAGGGCAAGATTTCTCTGGACCAAAAGCCATGAACCTTCATAAGACAAGTTTCCAGCCTCTGACCTAGTAGTACGAATCAGCATCCTCGCAACAAAAAATGAAGGCCGCTGTCATGTCATCTCTCGCTGTTGCTGGCGCTATCGCCCTAGTCGCTCCCATGGCTCCTTGCGACCTGGAGAATATCGAAGCCACCCTTTTGAGCAACAGTACAATTGCAGCAGAAGTGAAGAGGTCAAAAGAGCAGTGCAAACAAGACACGGGGGTCGACATTTTCGCCATCACCGAGTTCCTAACAAACGCGACTGCGTCGGAATTCCAGCAAAGTAACAAAGGCTGCAACATTCTTATCAATCTCGTCAATGGCTACACCAATGTCAATACGCAATGCACTATCGTGGTCAATGGCACCGAGAAAGTCTATGGCAGATTAATTAGCGATTTTCTCGACGGTAAGACCGGTAATGAGACAGACTCGAGCAGTGATTCCGCCAGTGAAAGTACGAGTGCCTCCAGTTCAGCGTCTGAATCCGGAAGCAATTCAAGTTTGGCGTCGGCCTCTACCTCCGGCTCGTCAACTACGGCACTTTCTATCGTGACTTACGGTGCCATCGCCGCCATCGCCGTTGCACTACGCTAGACCAGCGGCCATGTACGCCAACGAAACATTCTTTAAAGGCCTTAAAGTCATTTACATGTAGCTGCAAAATTTTAGCAATACATTGATCTCACTGTCAATCCGTTTTTGCTTAGTTATTTATTAGTTGTCCTGCGAACTTTTCGCAGGCCACGGTAAATATCGTTTGGATAATATTAATAATATTACGACAGGAGGAAGTCGATGGCATGGCGACTATTAATAGGCTCCGGCGATATCACTTTCCCAGCATTTGGTCCGTCGTTTTCAATGTTCTTCACCGAAATGATGACATCAGCATCGCTGTCACCACAATCCGTCGCGCCCTCGCTTGTGCGAACGCTAGTGTCGTATTCAACCGGGCCTCGGTTATCCTCATTCGGTTTATAAATCCTGTCGTTATTGCCACCCTCATCCCCGAGTCTGCACTCGTCCGCTATCCGAGCCTGTTGCATCAACAGCACGATGTCCGAGACGCTGGCACCGGCTTGGACCAGGGCGTCCACGAATCCCACATCCGAGTCGTAGATGAGAATTTGACCCTGTGACGAGAACTGAAAGCGGTTCACACCATGGTAGACAACCTCACGGCCAATGAATTTGTTGACCAGCTCTTCGTTATCTGCAGCGTGTGGGAACACATTGACAAATGTCTCTCGGGAGAAGACCACGTGCAGATCTGAGCGCACCGTGACCAAGGGGTTCTCCTCATCTCCAGACACTTCAACACCGACGACCACGACGTTCATACGAGCGTGGTAGCTCGTGTACCGCACCCACTGATCCAGTAGCGACTCTGGGCCGCTGGCCTCGCCGAACTGTACTTCCGGATCCATGGCGTTTTCCAGAAACGCCCTTTGCTTCGTCTCGAATAAGTCGTCGGAGTTGCCATTTTCAATAGCCGTGAGCATCGCCGATCGCTTCTGACCGACGCCTCGAACCGACGGTATACCGCGTTCGAACAGTGCGAAATACTCACGAGCCAGACGCACAGGAGACCCGTTCATGCTGTTGCGACTACACAGCACTTTGTCGGCGCGAACGCTGCGCAGAAATCCGAGGTCAGCGACCTCCTGACGCAGCGAGTCCACAATTGTCATCAGGTCGTCCTCGTATTTCTTGCGACGCGCACGGAAGGCGCGGCCGCGTTCGCTATTGGTCTTAGACCGTTTCACGATTACCGCACACGAGGCGTCGTCGTCGTTTTCATGTTCTTCCTCTGGCTGCTGAGGACCGAGTTGGGGAGGGACTAGTCGCGCGTTGCTGCTGGTACCGCTGGACAGGCCGGAGTTCTTAAGACCACGCATCATGGCGTCCCAGAGCTGCGGGCGCGGCTGGCCTCCCACTTGGAAACGTGCGGCCGGTGCGAGGCGCTCGAAATGCAGCACGCGCGCGCCAACAAACTGCGAAGGATGGGAACCGGAACGGTGGCCATGCATTGCGAGGGCCCTGGCGCTTGTCGGACAAGTTGTCCAGCGTTAACGCAAATGCGCCTACGCTTCCTTGCGCACGCCTGATACACTTCGCAAAAATTCTATTTTTCACTGCGATGAAACGTTCTAATAGCCTCGCCAACTTGATAGTGCTGCGAGAACGGAGAATCAGAGGATGCGAGGATAGAGAGGATCTCAATCAAACACCTTGTTCGAGACAACGACTTAATAGAGTGAGCGCCAAAAGTGGTCACTGGTTACATGTATTGTATGGCGCTTGTAGCATAGTAGTCAAAGTGAAGCGTGCTGTCGCGGTAGCTGTACGAGCTCCATTAAGTATTTTATATTTCATGTGTTTATTAATTTTTAAAATAATTAAAAAAATATCACGCTTTGAAATTACACCTCGAGTTTGTAAAAATCCACGTTTTATACTGAGCAACGGATAGCGGTCGTCATGGCTTTACCTGGTCTCACGTAGTACAGTAATCTGCCTCAATTAGGAACACCCATAATATTGTAGCCGTCAAGGTTTTATGCGGCTAATAAAGAGTTGAAATACTATTCACAAGCATGGGATTCTGTAATCACGAATTTAGCTTTTAAATTGCATATGTATCAGGTGTTATTATTGAGGCAGAATACTGTACTTTGAGAAGTACATATTAGCACTGGAGCTAGAGGATATCGCTGCTCTATTCATACTACGGAGTACTACTACAGTGGTTACGGTAATGAATCTCATTGAAATTATTTTGTGTGGAGTAATTGTTTTATTTCACACAGCAATTGATCTCCGTGAGAGTATTAATGAACTCCTATTAAATAGTGTTTGGTAAAATAAATCTCATTGCTATTATTTTATGTAGCCCTGAAATTAATCTCACATCTACATGTCGGCATAAATTATACCTGAAGGTAAAGTTTCAGTTAGAACAGAGGGTTGGAATGTCACTGGACTGTACAGTACAGTGGCAGAGAGAATTATTTTAAAAGAACATCATGAAATGAAGTAGGCTTAGACACAAGTACATGCAATCATATAATTTAGAGCCACAGCCAATTGGTAAATAGAAACAGTGAAACTTTTCTTAAGTACGAACATCAGTGTTTACAGCCGAGCAACCAACGGATGCCAAATATTGGGTCAGAACATTCCACAGAACATACAGTACATCACCACAGATTTTTTTAAAGTACATATTATGTAGTAGTAGTACAGTATGGGTTGAACAGCATCAAATTGTGTTTTTTTTTTGCTGTACGTAGTACTACATGTAGAGCAAGTCTATATCATTTCATAGTAGTAACCGGCAAGGCATCCAATATATTTACTGGCAATCTAAATATGCTTACAGGCACGTAGCACCGAACGCTGGCTCGAGTTGCGTGTCGATGATCTTGTTTAGCAAAGAAAGCATTAGCTTCTGGGAGACGTCAAGGAACACACGGTAGTAGTCGCCTTTCTTGTTGAGCTTTTTGGCGGAGAAGTCGAGCAAGCTGTTCATGATCTGCGTGATAAACCGGCTCGAGTTGTGGAAGACGAAATCGATGTTGGTGATCCGATCCCAGCCCAGTGAGAGCGTGTTGACCTTGGCATCTCTGAAGTTTTTGTAGATGGACTTGGTCAAGGTCGTGAGGTCGCCACTCAGTGCTCCTGTCATGATGCTGGCCATTGTCAAGTTCTGGCATACAGACGTCAGGATGCCTGGAGCACACTCGAACAGGTTGGCCTCGATGTTAGTCACAATGTGGGGCTTGCTCACGGCGAGTGCCACGTCCACCGTAATGATCTGTGGCTGGCACTTGATCGGGTGTAGTAGGTCCACCCAGCAGATCTGATACCATTTGTGGTAGGGCATCGCTACTTCCACTGTAAGCGTCCCCTCGAGCGCAATGGTGCCCGTAAAGTCCGTACCCAGCTCTAGCGTGCTCACACCCGTGACGTTTACCGGCAGAGGGAAAATTGTTGTGATGCCGGATACATTGAGCCAGTTAATCGTGGGTGTCGTCTCGAATATGTAGCCAAGGAACGAGATGTTCTGCGTGGCCAATGTCTGGTTCTCAATGAGCATCGGGTCGCTTACGTACTGCTTGAGCACTGCCGGCGACGTCTTGACGATGTTCACCAGGTTGCCCAGCGCGATAAAGTCCGCCGTCGCAGTCTCGAAGTTCGCCAGCACACACGTGTTTTACACGGTAGCGGTCGTATAGGGGGCGGCAGTGGGGTCTTCAGTACCGGTAGGGATAACAGTGGGAATGCTTACGTTGGGGGCGACTGTGGGGGCTATCGTGGCGGGGCTTACCGCAATGGGCACACCGCCTCCATTTCCAGCGGAGGCGGCGCCGACGGCAGCGGCAATGGAAATGACGAATCCGCAGAACTTAGCCATTTCGCGTAATTGATCTGAGCTGGACAAAGCGGATTGGGTTATGCGGGGCCAGGCCTGGCCTCCAGACCTTCCCTCGGTGCTGCACGAGTTACGGATCCATCGACCAGATCGCTACACTTGCACCTTCATTTGCTGACGTGTTACAGTACCGGTACAGCCTGTACATGTAAGTACAGCCTGTACATGTACTACAGGTAACTGTTCACGTGGAATCCGACATTTCCCTTGCTCACTTGTGGCTGCCAATGCATTGGCGTCTGCAGGGCAGACGCCCTCAAAGAAAAGCAACTCAAAGATACATTCAGAGCAGTAATGCTGAGACCGCTACCCAGGTCAGGCTGGCCGTCAGGGCAGTGCTCAGTGGCCGCGGCTACCAAAATGGGTTAGAAAAGTCGCCTGTATCCATTTACCAGAATTTGAAAAAAGATTGTGAGGCTTGCCGATACAGTATTTCCCGGGTGGTTAAAATTAACCTTAATTAACCCTTTAAGACCTGAACTTTTCTTAGAGTCCCTATGGAGGTCTTCAGGGTTTATCATAAATACAGAAAATCGACCAATCGAGCTCACAGCTGCAGACACGTGGTAGACCCGTTTTGGCTACACAGAGGGGTGACATAGTGAGATGAGCAGCCAAGAAGAAAGCGACGACAACAGCTCAGACAGCAGCAGTGACATCTGTGGTCTGTGTGGCGGTACGCCGTGCGACTGGGATGCAATGCACGAGCTCCTAGTAGAGCGTGGTGACGAGCTATGCAACAATGTCGATGCCAGTGGCATGAAGAAGGTCCGGAAGGCTGTTTGCCAGCTCTACGTGTATCTCAAGTTCGGAAGTTTAGTGAAGACGCGTATGGTTCGGGTCCCCGAGTGTGTTATGCGAGAGATTCGAGCTCATTGGCATGATTGAAGCGAAAGGTAATATGTTATTGATGTAAGCGGAGGTTAGACTGCTGGGCTAATGCGTCTTCTCTTTCTGATACCAGACGCAGGTTCTCGGATGACCAGCTTAGGTAGCTCGAGATCGCACGGCTCGATAATACTGGTATTCTGTCTGTGCCTTGTTTTTGAGATTGGCATCCCGCTTGTTGTTAGGATTACAGCGCTCAGAGCATCCATCACGGCCGCGTTTTCGGACATCATGTGCTTGTAGTAAATTGCCATAAAGCACTCAACATGATACCCTCTCCGACACCGTGTACAAGCATATTTTACTCGGTTCTTGCCACCACGGATCGAGCAAAGAAGACACAGCAGCATTCCTCGGCTTCGGGTAAGCATGTGCTGCGACTGATCACTACCGACAATGTCTTCAATGGGCTCTCGATGATTCGCTCTGTGTCTGAGAGATTGCATATGCATGTGCTGAGCTGCCACAAGCAGATTGACTATCTCCTCCTTTGCTTCGCGTAAACTTTTGGGCGCCGATACCTCGACTTCATGATCATTGGCATTATCTGTAGCGGCGTGTCCATTGGCAGCAGCGATGATAGCCTGGTATATGGCATACGCATTGTGGATTGCCACGTCCAGCAACCAAGTGAAAATGCTCATTTGAAGTCGTTTCTCCCTTCGCCGAGTAGGATTAGTGCTACGAAGTTGGTCAAATCGATCCACCGCATTCATGTACTTGTTGTACGCGCATACAATGGCAGGTGCGCATACTTTAGATCGACGAAACACCTCCGTACCCGTCCATCGCTTTATAAATCCCATGCCATTGCAGCACATTTGTGCTTCACGTGACGAGCCATCTAGCACATTTATTGAGGGTGTCGCTGTGAGATCATTTGTGTAAAAAATCACGACTCGCTTGTCTCGAAAGACGATGTATCCCGCATTAGCTGAACGCTGTTGAGGAGGAACAAATGGTGTCTTTTGTGCCTTTTTCAATCCTTTTTCCCGTCTCTTGTGCTCTTTCTCTGCGGCCTTCACGTCACCAACAGCTTCCATGGCAGCAACAAGCTTCCAAGAACCCCGTTCAGCGTGTTGAAGAGCTAGAACTGCGGCTTCAACAGAGGATCGAGACAGACTATCTACGTAATTCAGTCTGCAGGTACCAATTACTCGCGTTTCACCTGTTGTCATCTCGAGTATGGGCTTAGCCAAACCATGACGTGTATAGTACGAATCCATCACGACTACACGCTTGCCACTAGGTGCTGGAAGCTGTTGATTTTGCCGAGCAAGCATTGCTACCCATAATGCGGTGGCTTTCTTGGAGTTCAATCCTCCTTCAGCGCAGCGTCCTGCTATAGGCCGTCGCATCTCAGGAAAAATCGCCGTATAGCGTTCCAAATGGCCCTCAACAGTGGTGTTTCCGCTGCCGTTGTCAAACAGTCCGTGTACATACAGTGTTTTCCAGTCTACAAGAGCGTAAAACCGTACTGCATACTTGTCTGGTTTAGAAGGAATAAACGTCCGCGCAGCTGATCGAGCTTTTGTCCGTATTGAACTTTCATCTAAAGCTGAAACACCATTTGGGACCGCCAATAAAGCACACTTCTTCAAAATGTTGTTAAGTATACTGCGGCAATGCCACAAAGGATCACGCTGTTTCACTTCCTCTGGCACCGTATCCGTTGGGTGCAGCGTAATCGCTGCTCGGATTCCAAGGAACAGGTCTCGTTGCATTGTCGACTGTAAAAGAGGGTGGCCATAGAGCTCATTTGTAGACCAATAATCCCGAAGACGGTTGAGAGGGCAGAGGCTTGTGGCAATCTCAAGGCCAATATACGCGTTCAGCTCCCGAAGTGTGATGTCTGGTGTACCGTTTTCACGAAGACGAGGGTTGATCCACTGCAGTAGTGTGCTGCGCAACTTACGTGTGAAGAACAGCGCAAATAGACCCAGTATGCCTTTTTCCCGGAATGCACGCATAGCCTTCTCCTCTTGGAGCAAGGTGATACCACCTTCAGCCTCCAGCCCATCAATGTAGCGCTGGCCAACTCGGAGAATGTCTGGGTCGACTCGAGGACCGATCATCGTGCCGCCGACTGCGCCATCATCCCTACCGACGCATTCAGCATCGTCGCCTTTGCTTTCTTCTTCTGTCGTTTTCATTTCCTTGTGACCCGTGGCGATCGTTCCCTTCAGGTTCCCATTCTGAAAGCAATAACTCGATGTCCATGTTACTCGTCAAGTCAGATCTTGAAATGCAAGAATGATTCTGATCGCGCAAGGGGGAAGGACGTCGCCCACCCTGGTCGTACCTTCGCGACACGTCTGATTGGCCTTCTAAGAGGTCCCGTGAGGGCTTCTGCCCGACTTGGCATCCCAACGTGACCTTTCGTATACTATTTTGCTCCAATAGATGCTCGTGATTTGCATTTTTAGAGGCCCTCGGAGGGTCTCTAAAACCTCAGGGCTTAAAGGGTTAATGAAGGAAGTGAGTACCTATTTTGCCCGACTGGCTAACCGACTATACAATTATACTCCCGAACGACAGAACCGGTAAATCACACAGAACCAAGGTCTGACACACAAACAATGTGATAGCACATACAATATGCGTGTGACACATCAATGTCACATCACACTACACAATCTATATGTGTACCACACTTGCATTGGCCAAAACACACCAATCTA